GGCTTCCAGGAGCCCATAAGAAGGGGGTACACCCTGCTAAGACTCCAAGAACAACCCTGCCTTTCAGGAGTCAGCCGAGCGAAGAACGGTATAGAATAAACTTTTTCCCCGACGGGGAAAAAGTTTATTTTATACCGTTTTTCGCCCGTTAAAGGAGGGTCGATCCCCTCGCCTCGCCGTCGCCTGCATGCCACCAGTAGACAGGGGATGAAACCAAACAGGGGAGGACAGCACCGGCATCCTGGCGATCCTGTCAATGATCAAGGAGGACGCGTTCGGGCAAAGTCCGGGTCTCTCTCGCGCTCTCTCTCTCTCTCTCTCTCTCTCTCCCTCGCGCTCTGTCTCGTGCGCATGCTCGAGCAATCGCTCAGGTCGGGAGGCATCTGGGGGGCACGGCTGATCGCGCTGACTCCTGTGCAGCAGGCGCCAGGCCCCATGCCCCGTTCACTCACCCCCTCGTCCTCCCGCCCGCCGGCGGCCCCCGGCACGTGGAGAAGAGCCCACCTCGTGCCAGCCGGCGTCTGGAGCCGGCACCGTCGCACACGCTGAGCGCGATGGGGGTCTCTGCCTCCGCCCGTGCGCGGGGCGGAGGGAGGCGGAGGAGGAGGAGGAGGGAGAGGAGGGAGGAGGAGGAGGAGGAGGGAGGAGGGGCAGGAGGAAGGAGGAGGAGGAGCGGTGAGCATCGTTCGAGGCGGCGGCGGAGGGTTGCCTGCGAGGCGGAGGTGGCCCTGCCCCGCGCGAGGTGCTGAGGGGGCTGTCGGCCCTCCCTCCTCCCTCCCCTCGCCTCCAACTCATGCTCCCCCTCATTCCTCCTCACTCCTCCCCCTCCCTCCTCCCTCTCCCTCCTTCCTCCTCCCTCCTCCTCCTCCTCCTCCTCCTCCTCCTCCTCCTCCTCCCCTCCTCCTCCTCCTCCTCCTCCTCCTCCTCCTCCTCCCCCTCCACCTCCTCCTCCTCCTCCTCCTCATCCCCGCCTGCAGCGCACGCAGGGAGCGGAAAAGGGGGCCCGGGTCGCGCTCGCCGTGGCCTGCACGCCAGAGGGATGCGAGGGCAGAAGGGGAGAGAGAGAGAGAGAGAGGGGGAGAAAGATTGAGGGAAGTAGGAAGGGATTGGGGAGGAGGAGGAGGAGGGAGGAGGAGGAGGGAGGACGAGGAGGAGGAGCGATGTGGAGAAGGGAGGGGTGGAAGGAGAGGCCGCGGGAGTGGGCAGCGCTCCGGGTGGAGCAGTGTTTCTCGGCAGCGACTCACGGGGGCCTGGCGTGCCCTGTTGATTCCGTCTTCAGCGTCGACTGGCGTCGATTCGCGTCTGGGAGTCGATGGGACAGCGTCGGCCAGCGTCGATTTAGCGTCGACTGGCGTCGATCTAGCGTCGACTAGCGTCGATTCGCAAGAGCCGACAAGATGGTATGGGAGGCTCTGGTGAGTTGCCACCGAATTACTCCAGCCTTGTCGTTCGCACCAGCGCTTGTTCCTTCAAAGTGATCGCACACCACCACAGAGCATACCTCCCAGGCGGTGGCACCCACATTGACGGTGCTCTAGACTTGGCCAGGGTGTTGACGTTGGACTTGCATACTGTGCATCACGGCCG